ACTCAGCAACCCAATAGTTTTATGAAATTTTACAAATAGTGGCACATTGAAAATGAGTTCATGCATTTTTCGCGTGATATATTTATATATTGATGAAGCTCAGAAATTTCGGCATCAGAAAGAAATTTTCGCTTAAAAAGAATAGGTTGCAAGTTATTAAAAACACTAAACACACGTACAAATCTATTTTTAATTGCTTCATTATCAATAACACTACAAAGTTTATAGTGGTTTCTTAATACTATTTTACAATGATTATCTACAAATACATTACCATGGTAAGCTTGTCGCTCAACTTTCATATCTTCAAGGGCCTTATAAAGAGACCTCTCATGAGTCCCCATGCTACTTATAGATATTTTTTCTAGGTCTTCACACTCTATCTGCAATCGAATATACTCAACGTCTAAAACTTTGCGCTGTGCGCGTATAAAAGAAATTTTTTCAGAAATATAAAGGTCAAGACATTCTAAATCTTCACCCTGACATGCTAAACACTCATACTTCTCTATATCACACAATACATTCTTTTCCGAACCACCAATAATTTCACAAAATTGATGGAACAATTTTTGGCACATACCACACTGCACCCAATCAATGTTACAATCATATTTAGTAATTAAACACCTGATACTAGCACACTTTTCTTGCTGTTTACAGTTTTTTTTTTTATTGGAGGAGTTTAGAGATATGCATTCCAATTCAGAAATATTTTTATCAAAAGCTAACCAACGAGTCTGTAGATTTGCAACGTCTACAAATTGATTTCCTAATAAACCTAAAGAGTCTGCTGTTTTAGAACATTCAAAGCTTTTAGCAGCCCACAATTCATTCGTTCTCACATTCTCATTATGCGACAAAGACGAAACAGCTTGACAATCCAAAGTCTTACACTCCTTCAACAATAACTTATAAAGTTTTAACACAACTCCTAACATAATATGCAAAACAGGTGGCACTACATAATCTAAAGTTATTATGGGGAAAATCACAGGAGCAATAATTGAGTTATGAAACTTAACTAGAGCTCTTAGGTTTCCACCTTGTTTATCTTCACACAAGTTCTCATTGTAAGCACTTTCCAGAGATTGTATTGTCCTCCTTAAGATGTTACAATTAGCAGGTGTGTGAGGCATAGAAGCATAGTTTCTTAGCTAGGAAAGCTAGCAGCTGAACCCTGGTGTCCCAGAACATCATCGATAAAATGAAAATCTCCACCTAAGAACAACCTGACTATTTTGCCTTTTAGCTTAAAATCTGACGACTGAATTCTTTTAATGTCGTTGGCATAATGCCCGAGAACTAAGGCAATATTCTCACGACAGTCTGAACCCTGATACATACAAAATAAATGAACATCATATACAGACCCTGATGATTTAGAATTGACAACTTCAAAATGGAATTTCATATACTTCCCACCCTTATCCCCAGCAAAAAGGAGCCATACCTCTTCGCAAAAACCGACATCAGAATTGAAGTGGTCACAAACGTGCAGACTATTGAAAACCTCTTCAATATAAGTTATCAAATTCTTGACCATCAATACAGGTACTAAACAAGGTGCTTCATTCGCAGATGGATAAAGCAACATGGACTTTACAGTAACATGTTCTTTACTAACATGCATTGTCCGCATTTCTTGTTCTTGTCTTATCTTGGGCTCAGATGGGAGAATCCTTGCACCAAGATTACACAGAATACGTCTTAGCCTACGGAATTCAGCCGTGGGCATCCTTAATTGGCTCTGCAGCTCTACAGCATCAGAAACACTTAACTGCCTAACTAAATCCAACTTATTTGCACCACAATGAAACATAGACTTTTCACAAGACACAGAATCACAAAACAACATAGACAAATCACTTTCCAAATCTGAACAAGCTAATAATCGAAGGAATATAAAAGCAAGTTTAGATCGTCTAGCTGCAGCATGCCTACCTAACTTAGAATAAGATTTACCATCTCCTAACCTAATGTAAGTATATTTCTTACCAACTATTGGCTTTTTAACTGATATAGTCTGTGGATTACTTAATTTAAACCCACAGAATAATTCAGAGGAACCATGTTGTCATAGTCTAAATAAGAATCAACGACAACTAAATCCTTATCACTGCTAGCAAAATATTTGCAAATTTGGCAACTGTTCTTGTTTATATCACTGATTTTTGCATTTTTTTTTTTCAAATTTAAATTTTTTTAGCAATCTTACATTTTTGGCACGAGCAGATGCAAATTTACGGTGTGCTTTTTTTAATTTTTTTTTTTTTAAAGTTGGAACTGCTCCTCCTGTTTTAGCCTAATACTCATAGTCTCTAATTGAGAACTTAATGAGTTACAATGTGCGTTGAGAGCCTTGTTTTTAGAATTTAAATATATAACTTCAGTTTCCAACTTTGATACCTGTATTTTTAAACTATCTATTTGCTCCACATTATTTTTTTCTTTAGAAATTAATTGTTCAACTTGACTACTTAGTTCCTTATTCCTATTTAAAATATAAAAATTATCTGCATCTGCTGATTTTTTTTGTTTTTTTGTTTGTGGAGCTGGAGACAGTTGCATTTTAAAAAATGCTTCGTTTTTTGAAGCTTCAAAATACTTTTTAGAATCTTTTTTTCTTTGTTTTATTTTTCGGCACATTTTATTTAACACATCAATATTAGGCATATTAAACTCAATTGGCAAAAGAAAACTTTAAAAAGTAAACAACGCTTTTGGATAAAAAACTGTTAATAAAATTGAAATCACATTGTTAGTGATCTTACTAGTGTCAATTACTCGCTTTACAAAATTAAAGTTATACTCATTTTCCCAACCATCTTCCCAACCGATGTACAGTTTCAAAATTTCCCTCTCAGTTGCATACATCACATAAATAATGATAATGATATTATAATAATAATATAATAAAAGAAATTAAATAAAATAATATTTACAAATAAATACACTAAAAATAAAAGAATTAAGCAACTTATCTGAGATTAGTCGAATATCCACGAGGAAATAATCCACGAAACTTTGCTTTATAATCTTTATTGATATAGTAATAAAATTATAATACAAACAACTTAAATAGAATAATATTGACAAATAGATGCACTAGATAAAATTGGATTAATCAACTTATCTGAAATTGTTATTTATTCTATAAAATGTGTCTCGTTTGTTTTGTTTGTTTTCTTAAAATGCATCCGATAATCGTTGGGGGCGTAACGATCAGAGTTTGCGTCACCGCTTTAAAATGTAAACAAGAATTTATGCAAAAAAAAACTAAAAAAAATGTTGCTAAACATGCCAAGTTTGAAAACATATTTGATAACATAGCTAGAGGTAGAGAAAATAATTTTTTGATTTTCTTATTCATATAAGGTTGAAGTATTACTAAATCCACAGACTTTTCAAAAATGTTATGTTTTTTATTCAAAACGAATAAAAACAAAAATATAAATGCATTAAAAACTAACTTTCTATATAAAAACTTGCAAAGTCTGTGGAAATCTAGATAGAACAGACATTCATTAATAACTGTTCTAAATTTCAACCATCGACCATGTAGCTATGTTATCAAATCTTAGTTGGCCTAAGACAGGTTTTGCGTAAAAATCGCAAAAATCAGAAAAGTGATGCCAAATTATTAACAATATTTTTACAGCTTTCATTTTTATTCCGTTTAATGTAAATGTTTATTTAACAAGGAAAGATAGATCTTTTATATTTTTTTTATTTGAAGATGAAAGCATTTATAGAAAAAAAATACTATTATTTTAAAGTTAATGAATTTTTATACTTTTTATGCGGAAATATTTTTTTTTTTGATAAACTCGTGACGTCAGGCTCGCTTTTATATTGAGTGAAACAGCCGTGAAGTTTCATTAAAAAAAAATTTTTTTTAAACATAAATTTATAAATTGTAACCAAATAAAACGTAATGTAGCATTATATAATCTAAATATGAGATGATCTCAAATATAGATTGTCTAAATGTTAAGTTACGTTTTAATTTACATTTAAAAGTGTACTGTTATAAGTTAAAAAAAACTGTATTGGTTTTTTTTTTGAACTTATAACAGTGCACAAATAGTTTATTCTAATTTTTTTTATAAGAAATTTGTCACGAAAAAAAAGTTTCAATTTGCTAAGTCACAATTAATTAGTTACAAGTTTGCAAATTGAATTTTTTAACTAAATAATATTTATGAAAAAAAAACTTTTTTTCAAGTTTTTAGTTGAATGTCTCAACAAGCGCATTGTTGAATACCATAACTCATTAATAAGTTATGGTATTTAACAAATTTGTTTTATTAACAATATTATTTATTAACAATATTCTAAATGCCTTTACATGTTTGTCAAGACTATTGTAATTAAAAAAGTCTTTTTTTAAAAAAATTAATCCACAAGCAATCTGATTCTTTATTTTATAACCTTTTTACTGTAACTCATCAAGCCGTAATGATACATAATAATTTAAAACTTTATATTCAATTATAATACATCATAAATAAATTTTTTTAAGTTACCTTATGTCTATTTTTTTTACTTGTTAAAGTATGACCTATGGATATAACATAACGTTAAAAAAATCTGTTTGAGATTTTAGTCTCAAACATAGGTTGTCTCAAATCTAAATTTAGTTATGTTACGTCTTAATTGGTTACACTTTAAAAAGTTAATTGAGAGTTGCGAATTGAAACTTAATTTTTCTTTTGTGACAAAGTAACTAATTAAGACAAAGCTAATTTAAAATAAAAATGAAAGAAAATATGATAATTAGCTATACGGCAATAATAAATAAACATTTACTGCATTATCAAGTTTATTTACTTAATATTTAATTAAAAATTAGAGAAAGTAACCTTGTTGCCAATTATAACTGATTGAGATGTAACGTAACTTTAAAATGTTAAAGAGGTTTGATGTTGTTTCTTTTTTGCATTTTAATTTATTCAAATGTTTTGCAACTTTATTAAATATTTATTACTTTTTTGTAGCTGGATTGGATCCATCGGTTCGAGGCTTGCCAAAAAATTTTTCCAAAGCTTGAAATGTCAGATATTATAGAATTTAGTAAAAACATTCTTTTTTCTGAGCTGTCTGTTATATCTCTTACCAATGATTTGCGTCAAGAAATTGCCAAGAGAATCCTTAAATTTTTAAGGCAGCTAAAAGGACAAATAGAAAATAATTTTAAAGACCAGGATAGGTACTTTAATTTTTTTGAGTTAATTTTGGAGTTTAAGAGAGATAAAATATTTTCATTGTTTAACATATTTTTTATGGTATAGAGGAGAGTGGGGCACAGCTGAACAAAAATTGTTAAATTTTGATTTACTAAAATTTTTCTGCTAGTAACTTTACTCCGAAGTTTAATACAAACAAATTAATGTCCAAGAAAAATAAAAACAGTTGTATTTTGTAGTTGACATGTATTATAACAAAGCTCGCAAAATTGTTCAGTTGTGCCCTGTGGTGGGGCACATTTGAAACAGGGATGGGGCACACTTGAAACAGGGATGGGGCACACTTGAACTTAGCATTTTCTGCAATTGATTCCCATGACAAATATATATGTATATATATATATATATATATATATATATATATATATATATATATATATATATATATATATATATATATATATATATATATATATATATATATATATATATATATATATATATATATATATATATATATATAGGACTAATGAACTGCAGATCTAAGAATTAATAACAGCATCGTAGCCCTAATCAAGTGAAAGCCTATTTTAAAGTCAAATAAACCAGGAGGCACACCTGAACACATTGTGCCCCATTATTTTTGTTCAGTAGTGCCCCACACTGTAGCAGTCTACTGACATGACTATACATAAATAATGTGCCAAAATCATCAAGTACAGTTGCATTTTCTAAATATGTGAATATTTGTGTTCAGTTGTGCCCCATTCTCCCCTACTTGGTAAAAGTCATTTTGCTTTAATTTATTACTAAATTTATTGTTTCTTTAATAATTTTTTTATTTCAAAGAAGGGTTTATAAATTATATTATTTTAATTTTTTTTTAGGTTAGTAAGACAAAAATGAATTTAAATTTAATCAGAATTTAAAAAAAAAAAAAAAAAAATTTATTTCAAATTTTGAGAACTTTTTCAATTTATGTTGTTTTGCATATTTAAGCAACTTTTTTGATTAAAAAAAATTGATAAAAAGTGAATATTGAATTGTATATTTCATAAAATTGAATTAATTTGACTTTTATGCTACCTTTCTGATGAAAAAGTTTTTTATGCTACTTTTCTGATGAAAAAAATTTTTATGCTACCTTTCTTATGAATAAGTTAATCAAAATTGAATGTTAAATAGTGTTTTATACTATGATTTGATTTCAAAAAGATTTTTTATAGGATTGTTATTTTAAGCTGAGTTGTTTAAAGTATAAGCCAGGAATATCATAAAATAGGAAGATAAAATTGCAGATAAACAAATCTCAAAAACATAATAAGTTGTTGTATATTATTAAAAGAATGAATAAACACATTTTATGCTGCTATAAATGATCGAACTTTTTTTATTTTGTCATAAATTATGTGAATATTTTTATGTATTTAATGATGCAAATTAAAGCACTTGCTTTAATTTGCTTTTCACTTTTTAATTCACTTTTGTCTTCTAGCGGACCAATTTTCTAAAAATCTCTTATTTTTCATCATCTGCTTTTACCTGAATTAATGTCTTTGTAAATCAGCTTTTTACACTTTCTAGCAATATTCATTCGTTTTGTGAAAATATTCATTCATTCATGTTTTGGTAGTAAGATTAGTATTAGTTTATTAAAACTAGAAAAGTGAACTCTTAAACTGAGAAGTGAATTTTTCTTTTTTTTTTAAACAGAGAATAGTTTTATTTAATTTTTCAAAAAGATAAAAGCTTTGAAATTTAGAAATAAAACTTGAAAATAAACTGTATCTTCAGTATGCAAAAAAAATAATCGTACACTTGAAAAAAAATCATGATTTTAAAGATTGCATCAAAAAAATGAGTTTTCTGTTAAAATATTTAAAAGTTTTTTTTAGATATCTTATCAAGTATTGTTTTAAGAATTAATTTGTGTGTTGGTGAACTAATTGCTTTTCAAAGCTATTGAATTTTATTCAATTGATCTAATGATACATAAAATTGACTGCAAAAAAAGTCATTGTACAAAAATAATGTCAAATTGATCAAACTCCATAGAAATTAGTATCAAATTGATCAAACTCCATAGAAATTAGTATCATTCCTTTAGCCTTAATGACCTCATCTAGATGGTTTCTGTCCAAAAAATACCACCAATTTTCTGTTGGATTCAAGTCCGGACTTTGAGATGGCCATTCCAAAACATTGATATTATTTGTGTCAAAGCATAACTTCATTTTTTTTAATTGTTAAGAAACATTATCTGATTACCGTTGCTAGTGTGGCTGTTAGAGAACAAAAATGCAAAACCATTAGTGCAATTGATCAAAACATCATTATTTTCATCATTAATGTGAAGAAAAATAGATTTATTTTTGCAGCTAAAATAGGTTTGAAAATTCAAAAAGATTGTAACAATTGTATAATAATAATTGTATAAAAGAATATTAATGTAGAGATATAGAGTGGTTGGAAATAAACCTTTTTTAACTTCTAAACAAATGAAACGTTGACTGGAATTTGCATATAAGTACTTAAAAATGCTGTTATCATATTGGAGTAAAATTTTGTAGTAAAATGAGTCAAAATACAATCTCTTCTCATCGAATGGAGTCCAAAAGGTGTGGCGAAAAAAAGAAAATTATGAATTGAGTTGTTTGCAAAGTAGTGAAATGCATGGAGGAGGAAATGTGATGGTTATGGGGTAGTATGAGTTGAAAAAGAATGGAGAAATTTACATTTATTAATGATTAAATGGATGCTTCAGTGTATTGTGAAATTCTCCTAGCCAACTTGCCAACATATACTTAAAAATTGAAAATGGGAAGCAATTTCATACTCCAGTAGGATAACAGTCCTAAACATACCGCTAAGAAAACGAAGTTATGCTTTAACACAATTAATATCAATCTTTCGGAATGGCCATCTCAAAGTCCGGACTTAAATCCAATAGAAAATTGGTGGTATTTTTTGGACAGAAAAATTGGCAAACAAACATTGATTTGCAAAAACAACTTGAAAGAAGCTATAATGAGGGCATGGGATAATATAACAGCAGAAGAGACCCAAAATTTAGCCAACTTAATGTCAAACCATCAAGATGAGGCCATTAAGGCTAAAGGAGACCTTACTCCATACAAATTTCTATGGAGTTTGATCAATTTGACATTATTTTTGAACTGTGCGATTATTTTTTTTTGCAGTCATGCATCATTAGATTAGTTGAGTAAAATTCAATAGGTTTGAAAAGCAATTAGTTCAACAATGCACAAATTAATTCTTAAAACAACACTTGATAAGATATTTAGAAAAAAAATTTTGAATTTTTTATCGGACAAATCATTTTTTTGATACAATCTTTAAAATTATAATTTTTTTTTAAGTGTACGATTATTTTTTTTGAATACTGTAGTTGTATGTTTTCTTGAATAAAAATATTGATTATCAAAATTAATAATATTATTAGTTATTAAAATAATGTATATGTTATAATTAATGTTAAGAATTGGTTTGATCAATTTCGTTTCAAAGATTTTAACTTTATTAACATAAAAGATTGAAGTCTGTCTAGAATTGTCTTAAATAATGATGTTCTGAAAAAAAATAGTTGAATCAAATCCTCAAACAACTTATAAAGAGATGTCATCACATTTGGCGTTTCAGTATCAACTGTTGTTAAGCATTTAAAAACAATTGAAAAAGTAAAATAGCTTTATAAATAAATTAATGAATTAAACATTAAATGAATTAAATGAATTAAACAAAAAGCAAATGCTTTGTTGGCTTGAAATTTCATCTTCTTGCTTTCAAAAAAAGTAAATATACTCAGATAGTTAAATTTGTGACTTGTTTTCAAAAAAAAATCACTTATCTCCTTGATTTACATTTTGTCTCTATCTTATATTTATCTCTATCTTTATCACGATCCTAATTTTTTCTTAGCTGTTCTCTTTGTTCTCCTTTAGGTGGCCCATCAGATTCACCCTTTTATTTTATTTTTTATTCTTATATATTATTGCTAGCTCAAGGCTAAGATTTTTTTTGTTGTGATCGTCTTCATGATGGTCTTTGGTATGTTGTCATTTGTCAGGCATAGAAGCTTTTATTCCTTTTTTTTTTAATAAGGCATAAAAAATGGCTTTAAAAGTTTATTTTGCCAAATGGCCAGGCTTTTACAGTCTTCATTGAACAAATTTTTGTAAATGATTAACCATAAATTTTTATGTTGATTTAAAAACATAATTTATATTCTTGAACATTAGCAGCATTATAAACAAATATTATGAAAAATGGATAAACTATAAAACAATGACAACAGTTATGATATTTTTGTTTTTGCTTACAATGTAAAGGTTAAAATTATATTTATTTAAAGAAACTTTAAACTTAAGTTGTAAAGTTCAAATAATTATTCATATATAAAATATTATGTTCAATAATAATGTTCAATTTTAATCTTGGCAAATTCCATCAAAGTATTTAAAAGTAGAAAATCTAGAAAAAAAAGTCACAAAGTTTATGTGTTTTTTTTTTGTTTTTTTTTTATTTTTTTTTTTACAATTTAAATAATATGCTCAAAGTATTTAAATAATATGTTGGGTTAAATATGTTCAAAACCTTTTCTAGTTTGTTTTATGAATTTTTTGTTTAATTAATTTGTTAATTAAAAAATCAAAAAACCCACAACAACATCAAACAACATACATTTTATTCTGAGATGAAGTTTACATAATATTTTTGCACTAACAAGTTTGGTGTTTAGTTAATCTTAAAATTAAAAAAATTTTAGTTGGTTATATACCGTCCACCTTTCAGCAATGACTTTTTAAACAACCAAATTAAAGCCTCTCTAAATTTAAAAAAAACAATACTCCGGTCTTCTAATCACAGGAGATTTTAACCTCGACCACATGGTCTAACAACACTGCAACCACCACAAACCCACTAACTAATGAATTTATTGACACATTTGATTTGAATCATTTAACACAGTCAATTTTAATTTTTTTTAATTGAACTCTATATTAGGCCCATCTAGCACTCTAGATTTTATTTTAACTGAGTATATTTTAATGTATATTTTAACTGAGTATATCTTATTTTAACTGAGTATATTTTAACGTATAACGTATATAACTGAGTATATTTTTAGAGAATATTTTAATTCGTATTTTCTCTTTAAAGACATTATCAACTTGGCTACTTCAAAAAAGGATGAGCTCATTTAATTCTAACTTGGAATTTTGCTGTAGAATCTTGAAATCCTTCTAGAAATATGTTTTCTTCATCTTGATTTTAAAAATTTTTTAGATTTTAAAAAAGGTTTTAAAAATGGCAACTTCAATGAAATAAATATGTATTTTAAAGTTGTTTACTAGGTTAAATTGTTTTAGATAGATTGGAATGCTTCATAGCATTCCAATCTATCTGTATTGAGGGATGTAATCTTCAAATACTAGCAATTAAATCATATTGTTCTGTTTTACACAAACCTTGGATTACAAAAGAAGTAATCTCTGCAATTAAAAAAAAAAAAAAAAAAAAAACTTTATTATAGAAGCAAAGACCAAAACTGGCGTCTGGACACCTTAAAATACAACAATAGGTGCAAAAAAGTAAAACAAATTCTTATTCATTCTATTGCTCAATATGAAAAATCTATATCAGAAAAAGGTAAGACAAACCCATAACTTATATACCAATACATAAACATAAAACTTAAAGTTAAGAATCAAATAAGATCTATGAAAGAGTCGAATGGAAACATTACAATCGATCAAAGCCCTATAGCTACAGTCCTAAACAATTTCTTTTTATCTGTTTTTACTCCTTTAAGTCAATCACTGCCAGCATTCAAGAAATTCACATTTTCTGTGATTGATGAGACATCAGTCTTGAATAGACTTAATGAGAACTACATACAATCAATACTCTCAAAACTTAACATGCATAAGCCTGCAGGCATAGACGGCGTTCACCCACATTTTTGCAACAAATGTTCTTTATCTCTGAATGTACCAATTATTTATATATTTATGAAATCCATTTCTAAAGGTCAAGTCCCAGCCGCGTGGCTGGAAGCTAACATTACACTGCTTAACAAGAAAAGATCTAAACTTGATGCATCAAACCACAGACCCATTTCTTTAACTTCTGTCTGCTGCAAAATCCTAGAGCATATTGTAAAAGATTGTTTAACTGAGTAGCTATGTGCTAATAATCTTTTATCTCAAAACCAGCACAGGTTTGTGCCCAATTAAATCATGCATTACAAATTTATTGGAAACTGTTGATTAGATCTCATACTCAACGGCAAGAGGCTATAGTGTAGATGTTTTATATCTATATTATGAAAAAAGTAATTTCTTCGTAATTGGATAAATTATTTTCTTTCTAACAGAATACAACAAGTTGTTATGGGTTCCACTACTTCAGATTAGTTACCAGTCACCAGTGGTGTCCCTCAAGGATCTGTTCTAGAACCTCTTCTATTCATCTTATACATTAATGACATGGCGCAATGTTATTGAATTTATCTTGAATATTATCCAATGAAGTTATACGCCAACGACAGCAAAGTTATTTCCACCAACTTGAAACCTGAGAGCCCAGCATTTCTCCAAAAAGATATAAAGTACATCACGTCTTGGACTCTAACCTGGTGCTTATGTCTCAACTACCAAAAAGTGCCTTATCATACATTTTAATAAAAGTAAAAATCCTGATCACAAAATACTATATCTTGACTCAGCAAGGGATGCAGCAACTCGATTCCTATTACAACAAAAGAGATCTAGGCATTTGCATTTCATACAACCTCAAATGGGACACTTTGAAATAATATCGTAATAATAATTATTATTTTATAGAAATCTTTTATCTGTAAAAATGCTCATGTTTGGAAGAGACTATACACATTCCTTGTCAGATCTCACCTTAAGTATGCTGCTCCTGTATGGAATTCTCTTTCTGCACGCAAGGTCAAGAAACTTAAAAAAGTTCAAAACCACACCACCAAAGCAGTTCCCTCTCTAAGAGCATTATCCAGTAAAGCCAAATTATCATTTCTTCACCTCACCTCACTAAATGAAAGACACATTCGAGGTGATTTAATCTATAATAATAAGTTTATTAATAACTTAAAAAATATTTATTGGCTTAACCCACAAATTGGCAATCCATCTGTCCGAATAACTTGAGGACACTCTCAACGTCTCTTCAAAGAGTTCTTTAGTGCTTCAGACCTCAAAAACAATATGCAACTGATCTCTACTAGGCTTAATTTCTTTCCTAACAGATTAGTCAATCGATGGAATTTACTCCCACAAACTCCCACAAATTGACTCTTGCAATCTAAATGAATTTAAACATTGTGTTGACAAACACTCTGACCAGAACTTATTTTACAATTTATTACCGAAATGCTTCTACAGCTCATTGTCTACCAACAAGGAGCTAAATGCTTGTTAGCCTTTCCAAGCGAGATTTAAAAAACTCATTTACTTTGCATTACTAATAATAATTCTTATTTTAATATTAATAATCCTTATTTTTAATATATAGTTTAATCCTTATTTTAATATTTTCTTGCCACAGCTTATCATTATTAATATTTATGTTTTTAAGTTTTTTATATTGTTTCTCGTTGATTCATTGATTCATTGTTTTGTTTATTTTTTAATAGAGACAAGTTTTTAGAAGCTCAAAGATCTACAGAATCTATGGAATTTATCATAAGTCATCTTGAATCTATAAATAAAGTTAAAGAAGAATATCTTCAAAAATCTTCCCATGTTAGTTTTTTTTATTTAATATTATTTGTAGTTTTTAGTTTGAACTGATTAACTATAGATTTTAAATATATATATATATATATATATATATATATATATATATATATATATATATATATATATATATATGTATATATATATATATATATATATATATATATATATATATATATATATATAATATATATATATATATATATATATATATATATTCATATATATATATATTCATATATATATATATATATTGATATGCAATATTTTATGTTGCAATAATAAGTTTTTAACTAAAATTATATGAACACCAGCCGACTAGCTGGTTTTTATTTTAATGAGTTTATTTTAATTTAAGAATTTTGAGAATATACACTTTTAAAGTATACAATTTTATTTTAAGCACTTTGAGAATGTAAGAAAAAACTTTTCTCCTTTTCATATAATTTTAGTTGAAAACTTATTATTGCAACATAAAATATTGCATATCAATATATATATATATATATATATATATATATATATATATACTATAT